TCATGGAAAGCACTGCGGGAAAAGTACAGAAGAATGTTTGAAAAAGTGCAGAAAACAACAAAAAAACGCGGGAAATCGCGGATTATGCAGAAAAACGCGGGTTTGAGCCAAAACCGCGAAATTTGTTGCATCTGGGAACCGCGATTTCCTGGAGGGACAGACTCATACTCATACTCCTATTACATTATAGATTGTATAACATTGTGATTTCTCACTTTAAGTGAGAGCACTGATAGGAAAGATTGAGCAGTATACAATCCCTGCTAAAACTGGATGTACCCAAGTTTATTGTGGCATGCTGGCGTAGCAAATTAACGTGTGCACATTGATCGGCCGTAATTGCTGTGCTTCTCACGGCTAGTACTGTTTCTACTGTAACATGCAAAGGCAGTGGCTTGACAGTACATGGACGAGTGGAGGAAGTTCAGTCAAGTGCAATGTGTTGCGAGCATTCTTTGACGGCTGACGGTGTGTTCGCTGGCAAACAGACCCATGGCTAGTGAGAAAGAAGCACCAGCAAGTGCTACACACGCACATAGCCAACATTGGAAAAAATCCTTCAAGATCTCCAACATAAGGATAGATGGTTATCTGTGAAGGGGTGACACATGCACTCTCTCACATGCACTCTCTCACATGCATCCATTTATAGAATGGGCCAGTTAGCGTTGCAATGCATGACATTGCACTGCACTGTGGCATATCATCCGCGTTCCACCATTCCTGCGCGGACTTGGTCATCAGCATGGTGGTCACATGGTCCAGAGTCCCTGGCTCCTCGTAGCACCACGTCACCGCCTTGTGACCACTTAGCCGAGCTGCATGGGTCCGATGTACTGTGTGCAGCAGGCTAACTCTCCGTGCAATCATGGCTGGAACTACGCCACGCACAGAGCACATGCTTTTGAGTTTCAGTCTACCTTGCCAGGATGATTTTCGCAGTCTTTTCATCGATCAGCTCTAAGGAACGGCACAGGTTCACATACCTCTCCCTCGTACTCGCCGCAGTGAACTCCTCTGGTTCAGTGAAATGCGCAACGTCATAGCCGGCCTCCTGCAGCCTTCTCACGGTTGGTGCAACAGTCTCCAGTAGATCTAGGTACTGTTCATTCACTTCCTCCCAGGTAGCGGGTACCTTCTGTTTCGTGGACTTGAGTTGATCGGCTCTCTTGCTACAAGTCGTGCTGAGCTTGCTCTGCGCCGTGTAACAAGTTACAAAGACAAGATAAGACAGGGCAGCGTTGGTAAGATTTGCAGACTTTGCACAGCTAAGAATGCTGTGATGCTGTACAGCGGGTGATTTTCGAAAGGCGCTCAAAGACTCTGTACAGATTTGTATATCGTGCCTAGGGTGTTTCTTTCCATACAGACATTTGACACCGCACAGTACAGGCATGTGCCCAAGCACTACATCCACTAAGTGTGCAATGCATTTCCATATTGAGGTCCAGGGTTCCGCAGTGCAAGACAGGCTTTGCGTTTCAAGTGGACATTACACACTAGTATAATGGGGCTGTCCGGCATTTTCGATAATTTTCATGAAATGAAAAGTTTAGTTAGGATCCTCCCCCCACCCCCTCTGAACGAAAAATAGATGGACTTGACAGCAAGAATGCCTTGATGTCTCACATATCAAAAACATTTGAAACAAAACTCCCCTTGCATGATCCACCCACCCATAAACGAAACGTTTTTCTCTTCGGGTAAAAGATCGATAATTATGGACGGCCCCTAAGACCATGAGATCAGCACAGTATTATTCACCGCCTGACCAGTGTGGTTATAGTGTTGAACCACTTACAACCACTTACAACTTTCCTTGCAGTATAAATAATAACCTATTTCCCCATTTGCTGTTGATGTTCGCGTTTGTTTGGCCTAAGGATCACACAGGGCGAAACTCGAGTTGCAAGCAAAGCCTCGTTCTGTCTTCTATGCCCATTGCGGTATTGAGCACTGACTGTACTTGACAAGTATGTTCAGAGGAGGAGTTCTACTGCGCACTAACTGTTTCATGCTATACAGACTGGTACAAATTCATGTATCTGGCCATTCTGGTGTTTCTGGTCAATATTGAGGGCCGCTCAAGGGTTGCAACGTGTTTTGTTTCGAATCTCGAATCTCTTTGGATCTCGGATGAGTATCATGGCATCTGTATCTTTCTTCCTCCAAAGAAGGCCTAACACAGACGCCCAGACATGAAGCTCCACGTGGAATACTTGGCCTTGATTCGGCAATCGATATATTCATCGTTACCCAGACAGAGAGCCTTTTCAATTTTAGGGTTCCCTCCCCCTCCCGCCACAATCAATTTGAGCACTTCATCTAAATTCGCTGCAATGTGTTTGCGTTTGATTCCACACTAGTACTCTAACGACTCACCACTTCTGGTCCCTTCATTCCACATTCTGCGACAAGCTTCTTGTCATCAAGGCGTGCCTTGACTGCTACGATGAGCTCTTTCATACTGGATGTCATGTCTGTGGAAGTAATTGTCCCCAACACATGGACAAATAGAGATACATTCATCAAAGAGAACTTTAAATGAAGACTAACTGAGCTAACTGTTCGTCCCAAACTGTTTGTCCATTGGGGTAGGGGGATTTTACGCGTGTGTACATGTACGCGTGTGGAAGAAAGTAAGTTGATAGGGTGCTGGTTGATTCCTTGATGCCCCCTCTCTCGTCCGCGGGCTTTGTGCGGGATATGGCAACAGAGGTTGCACGTGCAATGCATATGTATGTGTAAGTTCTCGTGAAGTAAATTATACTGATACTGTGATAGCTGCACAGAATAGAGGCTATACTATGTGCATACGATGGAAATGATATCGTTGTACATGACTGTACACAGTTTGTGTTGAGCAGCACCAGTGCTTCTTGACTTATGTCTATATTGAAAAGACCACCCAAAGCTATGATTACTGTAATCATACTGCGAGCGAGTGGTGAATGTACTTACGTCGCATCAGCAGTAGTTGAGTGGTGCTGGCTTGCTTGTTACGCACTGCTTGCATGAACGTCGTGGTGCCGGAAGACGACATGAGAAACTCATCACAGCCCTGTTCCAGTAAGGATGCTAGGCAGTCCTCGCGTCCCCATGCGGCAGCCAGATGCTGAAGCCTCAGCCCTGAGAGAAGTGGGAATGCATTGCGCAAAGCAAATGATGTCATCACAGTCATATGCATGCTTTGAATGGAGTGGCAAGCCGATGCCTAGCCTGTAATGCCACTCAATGGAAAAACATACAGTATGATTGATAGCGCCACCGTACAACCTCAATACACGACAATATGTATGTCTTCAGACACTGTCCAAGCACGAATCACCCACAGCATACCGTGTTTAGAGAAGGCTACATCTCGATCAGCTCCACTCTCCAGCAGCACATTCAAACACTTGGTGCGTCCCAGCATGGCAGCAAAGCACTGTATATGAATGCCGCGATCATCCACCAGCTGAACCAGATCACTGGCATTCTCTGAAGACTTGAGCACTTCCATTAGCTCGGGCCATTTCCCGAGCAGTACCAGCTTGAAGCACTTCTCGCTGTCGTCAAGGTCTTCCACGTTATCGTCGTCTTCATCACTATTCTCCTCATTTCGTTTCTTGTTTAGTTCATCGCAATCATCATCGTCATAGTCGAGGAAAAGATCGTCTCCGTCGTCGACACCCTGCTCTGCTCCCTCCATCTCTACCTCTACCCTATGAACTGTTCGTCAACACGATCGCTAGCGCTAGTATCTAAGAACACATTTTGATTGTGAGTATTTGTATTTTGAATATTTTCTCTTCACACGATCACCGGTGCACCAGGTCCATGATCACATGCACCGCCACAAAACCATTAGTAGTAGGCATTACATCGACCAAGATCGATTCGACTGGCATGATGACACCGAGTGACAGTGACACCACAAAACCATTGAAAACTGGGCATGGGTGTAGCGCTAGCGCTCGTTGATCGGAGCGCTATAACTGTTACCATGGCTACTGCCTGTACTGGATGCGGACGCCTACAAAGACCAATGTACATCATTTAAAAATTAATAATATCATTATACACATGTGACATGCATGTAGTACTAGTAGTAGTACTACTAGTACTGTAGTAGTAGTGCAGTGCCCGCAGCCGTAGGCGTAGGCCTCCGCTCCAGGACAAAATATGAGTCGGTGAAACGACATGATCGATGCCGGATCATACACTCCTGACCAGGCCAGGGTCGGGGCGATATGCCCCCGCATAACTCACTACCCGGACCCTGCTACCCGCCGGTTTTCATTTCAGTTCAAGACCGACCGTAGATCTACCGTCGACCCGTCCTGTCACCTACCTTTACCTGTTCTTATTGTTAGTTACCAGGTTACTCATCATGACCATGATGACTTCAGACAGTCAGTAGACGAAGGGTGCACATGCAGCTGCCAAACTGTCATTTCGCGGCAGATACGAGAGAGGTAGATTTGCATGTGAAAGTAGCTGCCGGAGGAGATGATTTGAGCAGCTGAAAATCAAAGAACAACAAACTACTTTTACTTGGTCTGGGTACCGGACAGTTCCTTCAACGTCTTTTTTTGTTCGTTGACCCTAACGATACTGCTTGGGCAGTTGACATTCACGGAGACCGTAGTGTCGTCTTGCAGGAACAGCGTAGCGTATACTAGTAATATTCAGTTGAATCCAATAATACTCTGGAGGGTAGGGTCGCCACGATGCCAGGAATCCACCCCCGGAGGACGGGATGCGGAGAGAATGCCGCAAAGCGTGAATCAGCTACGGCGGCGCTGTCTATCATCGTGCTGTGCTTGCTCGGAGCGACGATTCACTGTGGCAGTGCCGAAGTGCCCGGTGCTTGGAACCACTTGTTCCAGGATAACGTTGACTATGTGTTCGCTTACAACTCAACGGCATTGCTCCCGGAGAGTAGGACGTCGACTCTTGCCAAGGTAAAGATCATGTCAGTGCCGATCAATGAGTGCTGTGCGGTGCGGTACATCACAGAACATGCCGCTGCTTGGGGTAGTTACGGACCTCTTTCTTTAGGTAGCACTTTGAAGTTTGAGAGTGGAGCTTCCGAAATGTGAAGACTTGCCCAAAGTCTCTACGCTAGGTACGCGCATTGCGCCTTTTTCATTTCTGCTGTGTAGCATAATTCCCTTGGCAATATTGGATTTAGTCGGAGGGAAACAATAATTATTAGCATAAGAAACGTAGCCAGTTGTAAACTAACTGGCTACGCTACTCACCAACGCTTGTGCATGTGTATAGTATACAAGTAACCAGGTCCAGCGGCATAGCTCCTGGATTTCAGATGGTTCGGCCAAATGGGATACTTGGTGGAAATGCCCATTATTGACCATTTGCACAAATCGGGCGGGACAACTTTTTTGAATAAGGTCCTGGCCTGACCTGCTGCACCGGGTGCTATGCCCCTGAAGCATGTGCACATGAAAGTAATGGGCTCATTCATACAGTTCCTTCAATGCATCATTATCTTCTGCGGCAGTATATAAGTCTGTTTGCCACTTGTCGACAAACTGACCTGCGGACTAACAGACGTCATCTTCAGGTATCACCAGGCACTCACCATCATGGGGGGGGGGGGGGGTGCTCTCTTGAACACGCTGGTCATGGTCCCAGCGCGGTTAGTGTTGGCCGCTTGCTGGGCATGCACCGACCATGCACTTATACACCTTTGTGTTCCTTCTCCAAAAAACGCCAAACGGGTGTACAGTGTACTCTTCGGCTGTGTTAAAGTTCCAGGTCAAAATCCTGGATCCTACTACATGATTGTACTGAATCAAGTACATGGTAATCACGAAATGGAAGCGCACCAATTTTGATCGATACAGCTTTGCTCTCGGTTATTTTATTTTTTATTTATTTTTGCCAACATCATACAGTACATATAGCTCGGGTTGTAATCTGGCAATGTACACATCCCCATGTAAGTGCAATCCCAGCACCTGAGAAACGTGACAGTGCAAGCACTGCACATGTGTTCATGTCCCCTGCTTGCCTTAACGCAGTAGGCAGGGACATTAACGTTACAGCAAGTGCTCTTATGATATACCACCATCTCCTCGTGATAGTTATCATCTTTGAATGGAAGATGAAAATTTACCTAAAATCCAAGTGATAGTTACAGTGCTCTCATGTTTGGCACAGTGCGTGTCATCTTTTCCTGCTATTGTACATGTACATCACATCGCCACTTCACAGAGCTGTATAAATCGACATTGCTGTGTTGAGACATTGCTGTGTTGCTTTGCATTTTTCCTATGTACTGATTTGAGAAATGTTCCTACGAAAGGTCTTGTCGGATTCACGGCTGGATTTGTGTTCATTTTGCATATCCAATCCCAGCTATAAACTGTGTGCACATCATGTACTGAATAACGTAACCATGGTAACCTAGTCCATTGTGGAATGTAGCATGTGCTATAGGTGGATAATAATAATAATGCTAAATAGACTGATTCCAGGTATGATGGTATATTGGTAGAAGAGTAGTTCAAATAATTCATCAGTTTCAGGGAGTTATAAAAGGAGAAAGTCGGAAGAAAAAATGTCTGCCACCACCGGGACACGAACCAGAGACCTTCGCTATTGGCCAGAGATGCTCCACAACTAAGCTATGAAGTAGTCGCTAGACCAGAGGAGACTGTCCAACATCTTGTCAGGTTAGGAAGCTCGAACTTCCTGTACCACTCTACGGGCTGGTGGGATACAGCCCTCACTGCTGTCACAAGCTTCAATAGATCTATGCAGAGAGTTCAACTGATCTACCATTATGCTGAATTAGATGTGCAGCTGAAATGGTGGCAATTACTTGTACATCTATCTATCACTACTCCAACTAAATCCTGGTTGAATAGAGAATTGTTCTGCACCATACGCTAAGGAGTAGCAGGCCCGTCGCACCGACTTTGGAGGCCATGGAAGGGGGTCCGGGGGTCCTCCCCGTGAACAAATTCAAAAATTGAAGCCAATTGCAAGCATTTCCGGGCATTGATTTGGTGCCATTTCAGTGTCCGGTAACTACAATGAAAGTGTTTTTGATTCTGCAATAAACCAAGAAGACGCTACGATCGGGGACAACCATTACCCTCCCCCGGGAAAAAAGTTCAATAATTGAAGCCAATTGCAAGCATTTCCTGTCATTTGGTGCCATTTCATCGTATGCATGGAGAAACTATGTTCTTACTACTCCAGGCCGTCAAAGCCCCGGCTGTGACGGCCTTGAGTAGTAAGAACATAGTTTCTCCATGCATACGATGATAGTCATGGTACAAACGGTATAATGACCTTTTACCATGCTTACCGGGTGCAACTTGCCACAATCAGTAAGTCTAAATCTTGCATATGAACATGTGTGCTTCTATCTTGATTGCTGCTATGCAGGTCCTGCTGCGGGTAGTGAACAGTGGTGATGACTGGCAAGAGATCAATGTACAGCCCATTGCCACGGGTACAGTGCACTCCACTCCTGATACCACCCCAGGTAATGAACACTTGGTCAAAGTAGCTATTCGGGAATGGACTATTTGTATATTAGAGGCGAATATATACGGGGGGGGGGGGGGGGGGGGGAGCATCCACTCTGGAACTATGGTTGAATGTTTTGTGAGGCATGTTCTCTCTTGTGACTTGGTGATGTGGGACTTTTGGATAAAGTCGATGTGTGATAGTTGAAGCCACAGCGGAACTAATTGTTGGCCTTTTTGAATTTGTACAGATTCATCATCCCTGGACAATCTCATGCCTGTCAAGGAACCAGTAGCCTGGTAAGTGGAGATGGGAGATATCGATTAGGGGCCATCCGGCATCATTGATAATGAAATTGGGGTGTCACTATCCCCCCCCCCCCCCCCCCCTGAACGAAAATGTATTGACTCGACAGCTATAATAGATTGATGTTTCAGTTATCAAAAGGTTTGTGTGGAGATCGATAATAGTTATTAGGGACGACCCCTTATGGTAGGTAAAACGGAGGAAATACAGCTGAAAAAGTTAACAAAAATTGGAGGATATGGGGTTCGAACCCATGGCCTCTCGCATGCAAAGCGAGCGCTCTACCACTGAGCTAAACCCCCAGTGATGAAAGCTTGCTCGTACATAGTGACACTATAATAGAGGTTATGCAATTACGGTACGTCCTCATCATCGTTCATGATTGAGATAGATTGATTTGTCTGGAGTGGCAAGACGGCATCGCAAGCACTAGTTTGCCACCCTACTTTTGGAGACCATGCTTTGCCTGAGTCCTTTGATCATAAGATGGGGGGGGGGGGGGGGCTATTGCATGACTGGCACTATGGCTAGGTAGATAGCATGGTATGGTATTTATATCTTTCCTTCATCAAATGAACAGGCACTGATGCCTTCTCACCAGACCATTGGCCTGGCTCCTACAAATGGTGAAGAAAGGAATGTACACTGGGTTAAGAGCTGGCCAAGGCTAAGGTTGCAATCTCCGGGCTTAAGAGCACACTGGCGAAAACGCAATCAGCATTTCCAACAGCAGTGTCGTGATCACTCCTCCAACCTGCGGAAGATGTGGTCCGTGATCAACTCTGTCACTAGCCGTTCTCGTCAACATCATCAGCCAACGTGCGACATCACAGAAGTCTCGGATGCCTTCCACAGCATTGTACATGATCCGTCCCGTCCGGCGCAGCTCCAGATTCCCATTGGTCCACAGCCGCAAGGCTCAATGCTGACCTTCCAGTCAACTACCCCAGATGAGGTCAAGCACCTCCTGGAACGGATAAATCCCTGCAAAGCCACAGGCAGTGA